AATCAACTTGTCCCATTCTTGGTGGTAATGTGTGTGTGTTTGGTTTATAGTCATTATCCACAAGATAACTAAGTATATCACAGTACAAGTCTCTTGGTAATAACTCACGATATAAAACAATCTTCTTAGGTGACATGTTGAAAAATCTTACACAAGGTATAAAATCTGTTATAATATCTTTGATAGTGTTAATGTCATTAGATGACCAATCCTTGAGATCACTTCCAAGTTGTAATTCAGGCACTTGTTTAGCAGCCCATTGTATAACTGATGCACAAACTTCATCTTCATTCATGTTAAGCTCATCATTCTTTAAAAGAGTGATCAATGTCTCCTTTGGTAAAGCTGTAATATCATTTGATTTAAAGATAATATCTGGATGTGAAACCATACTCTGGTTGCAATAATCAAGAAGTTTGTTCAAAGAGGCAGCAGAGACAACAAACTTATAAACTGTAAGAAAATTTTGTTGAATCCATTCCTGTTGGTTGTCAATCAAATAGGTTTCAAGTGCAGTGACTAGATCAAGTAGTTCAAATTTGCTAGCTCCTTCTAGAAGGTTGACCCAACCAATGCTCTTGCATGAATCATAAAACAACTCCCCAGTGTAAATATACCTATAATGATGCCAATAGTAATAGGTATTAATATTAACTTGTAAATATTATTTAGATACACTTCCTCTTACTTGAGCATTATTTCGAAAACATCAGGAGACACGTCTTCAAACATAATAGCTGGTTTTTGAACTTCTTCAGACATCTCCGTATTTTCAGTTAAGATATTCTCAAAAAATTTGCTTCTTGTACATAGCACTAATGTATGTGCAAGAAATATTTTGTTATTTGGCTCTTTTCCGACATGAATCGAAATATCTGTATATTTGCTACTTTCAAAAAGCTTCTCATAATCAGCTGAAAGACTAGAGGACAAAGCAACGATTTTATTCATTTTACACTTCCGGGCAAGCAAGTTTTTAGACAAATGCTTGTAGGCAAATCCTGTGTCACATGGCGACATTTGTATCTTCCAATCGCACATCTCGTATCGAATCGATATGTTTATTTGATTTTATCCTCATCTATTACAACATATATCGACAAAGACATAGATATTAATATGCGAAGACATGTTAATAACGCTGTATAACAAAGTCATCAACCTAATACTAAGTGTCATTTAACCGGACAAGTTGCTTTTTGTGGTGCAGGCTTAACTGAACAGAAGATTAAATCACAAAAACGTCAACCACGCCACGTTGTTTACAACACAGGTCGTTATTCTTTTCTCGTGTCGTCGTTATTAATATTATAGATAATATATTCTATATCACACAGTATCTATACATAATTAGCGTCCTTAACACAAATGCACGCTCTGGTAGTGTAGAAGCGTATTAGAAACCTATAGTAATAAACGGTTACTCCGTACGTAAAATCGCAAAAACTTCTCCGAGGATTTGCAATGAACATTGAAGAAATGGAATGTCGTAGAAAGTCTCAGGCTTGACTGTCAATGTAGATTCATTATAAATTTATGTAAAGATTGTAAGAACGCTTCCTGTTAGTGGAATTTGAATGTTTATTTCGAGATGGTGCTCGTAAAAAATATTGTGAGTTATCGTTGTAAGTGCATGAAGTTTAAAGATAATATTTATTTAATTATCAATGGGTTTTAGCGTCAGAAGTTTGAGATTTTAAATAAGAAATGAAATAGCGTAAACCATGTTGCAGTCATTAAGTATATTTAATAGATGAGAAGAAAGTATAGTAGTATGGAATGACAAGGGATGAAGACAAAAAAATGTTATCGTCGAAAATTTAGATACAGTAGAGGAAAAAAATTGAGTATTAAATTAAAAGTAGGTAACCCCCTCAAGTTGATAGTCGAGAATCAATAAACTCGATTGACAACTGTGGTCTATTGACCAATGAGGAAAAAAAAAATAACATATAATCACTTCGACCCCAGGTATTGGTTCCATAAAGCGTCAAGAGAAAAAATTCAACATACATAATTCAACTAAAGAATCAACGTACGACTAGAAAATAAAAAAAAAAAATTATTTTAAACACTATTGTCGAATCTAGTCTAATAGGCATATTATAAACACAAAAGTAAAACTCAGCCAATGGTCGAAAATCAGTAAGACATTGCATGGCATGCATCATAGTCAGCGGACCTAGAATTTCGAAAAGCGCAATATTATCTATCAATGTTTGCTATTGCGGCGGCCATTGTTTTAAAGTATGAACTTGCCATTTAAAAGCTATCATGGGTTAAAAAATGTTTGCAATCAAATAGTAGATTGCTCCTTTACGCAGAATAGAGGTATTTCTTGCGAGCTTGTATATCGTAGTGAATTACTCTGAACAAATAACGCTTTGATTTATCACACACATAAAGGTGTCAGATACGTGTATAATATTATTACAAGGGCATTGTATATTTTACCAAGCATTAGCACTTCACCTTTTCGCAAACCGAAAAGAAGATTTTGTCAGTCTTTTTTCTATGCTTATTTGCTATTTTCTAGATACAATTTACAATCACTTTGCTAAATTTCAAGTATGGTTGTACATGATAACAAACTTACTAGAGCGGATCGACAGATATATTAACACGTATATAATTTGAATTAAGTTTTGTGCTCGAATAAAAGCAGTCGTCTATTCTTCTTTTTTATAAAGACAATGAAAGTCTGCGTATGCATCAAAAGTAAACACACAGAAAGTATCAATGCAGTGTTACAAAAAACTGTAACTGTTTACATAACAACGTCGGAAATAAAAAATTGTGTGTTCAATTTATGTGTTTTTGAAAAAAAAAAAATAAATAGCATTGAGTTTGTTTTTATTCAGAATGATTTGGCTATCTATTATTCGAAATATACGTCTCATGTATGCTTCAATCAAATTAAAATAGTTTAAATATTGGTAACGTATCTCTTTAGTGAGTTCATAAAACTTTATGCACCACTTTTCCGATGCACTTTTTAATTACTAAAATTATATAATAATAACGAGCAACAATACTTTAAGCAGTGGTTAAAGATTTCAAGTTTTAAAATGCTGCTTTGTTTGCTAAGTCTATAGCTTCAGAAAAACGAATGTAACAGAAAAAACACACGCTAAATGTTAAAATAAAAAGTGAGCGGCAAGCTGGCCTGCATAAAAGTTCATTCAGTTTTGACGCGCAATTTTTTTTCCTGCTTGTCAACATATATGCTAAAAATATATGACTTTGATTATTGAAATCAAGCATCAGTATTGTAAATTGAATATTTAAAAGGGCACAATACAAATGACGTAGATTCTCTTTCTGCCGCTCACTGTCCTTATCAATCTGTGGTAGTCCATTGAAACAAATTTCTTCATTGACGCTTGCTTCTGTTTTCTAATCTTTGCATTCTTTTCACGTACACTATTCTCAAACTAATACTTGTCAAACATATGAGAAACGTCACAAACGTCCAAGTTGCGCTTATAGGAGATTGGACGTTATATGCTGGGTAATTTGAATTAAAAGTATAGTGACTATATGTGATACTGTATGTTGTAGAATAAGTAGTTTATCAATCAGGAGATTAACCAATTGGCATTGGCAACATGAATGCTTGCTTTGACATGCTAAGCATAGCTAACAACTGGTACTCAAATTGGTTTGTAATAGAAAAGACTTGGAGACTATCGATAAGTAATGGTCAAAAGATAATGTTAACTTATTTCTGCCCCACAAATCTGTGGGCGTCTCTCAGTAAATTTCTAAGCCAAGTTGACATTCGGGTCGGGTGTCTAAAGATTTGTCAAAGCTTTAAATGATATAACTTTAATATTTTCTAATGTTGATGCCATTTATTTTACTCAGTTTACGAATGTACAGTTCGTAAAATATTTATCCGATGTTTGAGTAATGATTGACTCGACATTTTGGACTGCTGACCGCTATCGCAATAATTTTTTATATTCCTACTGCGAATTTACACAAAGGTACCAATTGCATAATGCTAGAAAAGTAAGAGTATTCTAAATAATTTAGCACATGTACAGTATGTGTGGTAATACCGTACATTTGTATTCTCACGTTGATTTACTTGACAATTATCCGGTTGAGTTGGCGGAACATCGAATGAAAAATTATTCTGTTAATACTGCATGTCATGTTAATTCTATAAACAGTTGACAAACAAATACGGGGTGAGAATAATGAATGACATCGGCTGTGAATTTGTAAGCACACATACCCGTATGATCAAAATATGACAGAATTTGCCCTTGCATTGTCAACAAATCGCATCGAGCATTTGTTTGCGGCGTTCATGCAAATGTTGTGACACAGATCTTTATCGTCGTCATCAACCTGTAACCTCTTACTATATATGCCGTTCAGTGTTACACAATCATTGAGCCCTGCGTCAGATCAAATCTGGATTAACACAGATACAGCAAAAAAGAGACATATCTAACGATTAAATTGAAGAAGCAATTTTCCTGGTTTCCGTTTTCGGCTTGTCGGCTTTTAAAATGTAGATATACTTTGCATAAATATAAGGTTATTTCAACGTAGCGTTTACGTATATCGTCGGATTCAATAAACACAGCACATAACAAGCGTAATGGCTCGTTGTACGTTGACACGTCAAATTTAACTTTCCCATAGAGACTTGTTCTTAAATCTGAGCGTACAAAGAGCCTGACAACAATTGTTTGTCTTTCTTGTTTGTCATTCCTATATCACATTAATTGGAGACTCGGGAGTACAATGGGTTAATTCACGATTAAACAGTCGTTTTTCTTTTTAGGCAAAGCCAAATTTAACGAGTGACATCACTAATTAAACATATTTGTAGAATGATTTCTTGCAAAACGCCCCGCTTTATACAATTTATCCAATTGAGTAGTTTAATAAAAAGTCTTGTCATTGAGAAGTATAAAATCGAGTATTTCCAACGCCGAACCGTCTATTGACAGGTCGTAAAGACGTTCAAAAAGTTGTTCCAAATGAAATCGGCCCATTTGCTTTTTCTCTTAGTCTTAGTCGTTCTGATCTTCGATCCTACGCCAGCCAGTGCCTCACCTCTCGGAAAGAGATGGACAAAAAGTCCATGTTGTCCCATTTCAAGATGTGTGTTTAAACAAGGTGACAATTTCGTAAATGCGGCCGGATTTGCTGGCAACACATTTAACGGGTTCCTCGAATTCATGCAATCGCCCAATGACACTTTGGAAATCAGTGGTTGGATTGATATTCATGGTACGATAAACGGAGCAGTTGAATCTTTCTATGATATTCACGTGGCCAATTGCAGCACAGCCAGCACCGATACACCCGGAGACCCTGCCATCATTGACTTGGATAATGCGTCCTTCTCTACACCCATCCTTGCATCGAGAAGCCTGTCAATAAACAACATTACAAATAAATGTTGCTTCGTAGTGGAAGAGTTTGCATCACTTGGTGGATCAATTCCTCCCAACGAAAGAATTTATGGAGTTGCACCAGTGGAAGATGTTGTAAGCTGTGTACGCAATACTAGCACCAGACATCTTAACGCAGAGAACATACAAGTTTGACATTTTGATATGTATTTATAAGTATTCTATTCACAAGTTGTATATTTACAGTATGTTTATCAATAACTTAATATTGGTACGAGGAACATCTGCTACAATAATTTTGTTACGTTACTGTTTTATTTCGGACGAAATAAATACAACAATGTTGTGCAAGTAACAATAAATTATTAACTCGCCAACGTTAATTACATTAAAGGGATAACTTTATATAACGGGTCAGAGCGGCTCCCTGACCTGATACATCAAGTTTAATGCCATTAATCGATTAAATTCACCTTACCCTCACCTAAACGGTAAAGAAACCGATGACTGCATAAATGGAAATTTGCCGATAAAATGTTAATAGTAATCTCGGCTTTGCATTGAGCCAGAAAAAATCTTTATTACAATTTCCAGTTTGTAATAGCTTAGCCCTCCTTCGCAACCTCCAAGGCGTAAGTTGTATCTTCCGAATTTCACGTTCTAACCGCATTTTCTCCATCTAAATTGATCTCTCGTTCTTTTTGTTCAAAAAATCTTGCAATGTTACTGCAAACATTCTACTCGAATATAAGTTTTTATCGCGCGGCGTAAATTTGCACAAATATCAGTAAAGTTTACCTTCAACTTTCCAAATATATACATAACTCCGATAGAATATTTTTTCCCGAACTATTTGCACATTCCAAAATGCTTATGCAACATCGAATATACATATGAATATTACGTAGAATGTGTGTTGATAGGACCGTAAGCTTCGTAAAAATCCCGATGTTTTATATTTTATTTTTCAATACCACAAGTAAAGTTTTACGCAAAGTTAAGCTGAGATGTTCTAGATTGCTCACGCCCATTTACAAAAACTAGTTTCGGCAGCTGAACTTTCGTCCAAAATCGCATCGCTATTTTGGCGGATGTTAAACTTGTTTAAATCACCAGGTGCTACGTTTACCAAACAACAAGTGCAAGGAAGAAGAGTACGACGGTTCAAAAGAACATTACAAGCGAAGAATGTTGTTAGTATGTTGCTAGACGAATTGTAGTTTGGTCATAGTTTGGAAGGTAGCAAGAGCGTTTATTAAATGAAAAGAAAGCTACAAAATTCGCTTTGCTTTTAACTCGCTAACGATGAGAGGCATTCATTTCATCGACAATCATTTCATTTCACCGACAAAATTTCTCCTGTCATAGTCAGTCGATGAAATGATTATCCATGCAATCAGCAGATCAGAAAACATGTGTTACGTTGAGTAATAATGGTACACACTTGCTAAGCTTCAACCTTTGACTAAATGAATACCATTGTTGACTTGCCCTCAGGTCTTTCATCTGACTTTGAAAGGCTCTATGAAAGTGGCAAATATACGGATGTTTCGATTCACGTTGGAAAGGAGCCAAACAGCAAATTATTTTTCGCTCACGCTTCGGTATTATGTGCAAGAAGCACATTTCTCGAGACAAGTCTAACGGAAACGTCTGAAAGCCTTCAAACGGCAGCTATAACGTTCGAAGATGTGACACCTGACGTTTTCGAAGTCTTGCTAAGGTATGCGTAAAAAAGTGTATTGTCAACAGTTTCTCAGAAGGATGTGTATGTTCTAATACTTGCTGCCAACATAATCGTTGTACAGGTATATTTACACTGGGCGAATATCTTACGATTCATGCAAGGATATCAGCTGGATTAGCCTTTTGAATGGGGCCAACATGTTTAAACTGTATGATCTTTCCGCTGCAATTGAAAAATATTTGATAAATACGCAGACGGAATGGATTCAGCAAAATATTCTTACAGTTCACAAGTATGCTCAATCCGCAGGCTCCGCAAAAAGCCTATTGTCCTACTGCAATCGGATTATGACTTCACACCCGGAAATAATTTTTAAATCAAAGGATATTGCACACTTACCCAAAGCAACCTTGATTACCCTTCTCAAGAATCCTGACCTTGCTATGAATGATGATGATATCTGGATGTCAGTTGTACAGTGGGCTGTTAAACAATCTCCTGGACTCGAAAATGATCCAGATAATTGGTCGTCTAATGATATCAATACACTTAAAGATACAATAGCTGATTGTATTCCTCACATAAAGTTTTTTAACATTTCTCTCAAGTCTATTATCCTGTATGATGACTTGTTACCAAGGAAGTTACGCCGTGATGTAATGAATTTTCATGCTGAAGGAAACCATAAACCCAACATACCACTACTACTACCAGCAAGGGGGCATATTGATTCACTCATAATAAATGAACAACAAGTAGAATGGATCTCATCAAAGATTGTGGAATCAACAGAGCGACTTCAAGTAAATCAAGGGACGCTTATGAAGCAAAAAAACCTCAGATATAAATTTAATCTACTTTATAGACGAAGTAGAGATGGTGAGGTGGTGGCAAAATTTAGGGAATTGTGTAATAATAAGGGACCTACAATTGCTGTTGGGAGAGTATCAGACACTGAAAAAATACTTGGTGGATACAATCCAATTTCATGGGGTCTCAATGGAGGTTTTTCTAATTATATTAACACTAAGGAAAGTTTTATATTTGCTTTGAATAAAGATTGTTTGGAAGAGAGTATAGTGAGTTTTGTTGTTGATGCTCAGCATGCAATTTGGGATTTTAAGGATTGTTTTCCTATTTTTGGTGGTAAGTATGTGTTTGATTTACATTTTGGTGATGGGGAAACAAACCGGCCTCGTGCCATTAAATCTGCATACCAAGTTCCAGTAAGGCATTCACGAAAGTTGTTCAAGTGGGCTGACTGGGAGGTGTTTTCTGTTTCAACATTTTGATTCAATATTGATTAATTTATAATCATTTTCTTATGCTATTGAATTCGTATCTGTTATAGCAATGCCATTTATTATGGCCTTTAATTTATATGTCAGCAAAGTTGTTTCAAGTATTTCTATGAATAAATCAGTATTTTGAATAACAAAGTTATAAAAATTTACATGTGTGCATCATAATCATATATTCTTTTGACTATTAAGTGCTCCTATTACTGCAGCAAAATTTATGGTATATACTGAGACTCTATCACAGATCATCTACTACTACATCAAGCGCTTGATACGTCCCATCTTTTGTTCTCAGCGTAATTTTATTAGCGTTTTGTCGTAGTTATTCGTAATTCACGGACTGCCGGAAGTAGTTTCTGTTATTCTCATTATGGGATTGTATAGCTAACTGCAAATACTTTATTAGCATAATTTAAAGATTCAACCCCTTATTATTGTTTCGTGCTTCGCCGTCCACCAATGGCATCTGCTTGTGTTATGTAGATTATCTGTTTCAGAAAATAGTACATACATATGGCTTATAGCTTACGGACAGAGTTGTTCATATTTGATATACAAAAAAAAATCGGTTTTCCACAAACCTCGCAAAGAAAAATGCGCTTAGAATTTTACGCTTTCCATATCTGGCAGATCGATTACGCTTAGTATTAGATCGATTTGGATAACAAACCATTGTGCCGATTAAATTTAACACCACTTAATTATTCCTTAATAAATTATAGCTATTGCATTATAATACCATATAAATTTTATGTCAATTATTTGTTTCCTATACGTTGTATTTTATTTCTAGTATGTCTCCTCCTGTTTGAGAACTTGTCACTGATTTTTCTACTATTGTATATTGTAATTGACAAATATTTGAACTTACTATGTCAAAATTTTTATTCGTACTGTCCATCATTATTATTATATTATTTGCTCCCTTGAGACTTTCAATAGTACCAAAAGTTTATCATTATTGCAACAGTACTATCTCATTATTATCGTCATGAATAATTTGCCAATACTAATACATTTTTTCGATTTAGTGTGTCAACACTTTTATTGGCTAATCAATCACATTTGCATAGATCAGCCAAGCATATTAATATGTCCTAATACTTAAATGGTCAAGTTCAGGGAAGTCAGAATTTAGATCAGAAACTTGATAGCAGGTTCCCAAAATGCAATGAGCACACCCAAGATGACATCTATAATCTCAACAACTTTACACAGAGATCTTCACTTGGGATATTGTCCAACTGTATGGGAGGTCGACTGTATACATATACAGAGTAGCACATCCTGCATGGCAGACACAAACTTGACATGATTATACAAGATTAAAATAGAATGATGGCAGATTTGATTTTATAATTCCAATCTCATAAATTAAGATACCATCCATTCCATTCCAACAACCAAACTCTTCAATCCCATCATTGCAATAATTTATAATAATAAGAGACAGGCCACTGTTAAGATTAGTTCTAGATAAAAGGGGCAAAACCCCTACAGAACTGTTCTCTAGTTATAGAAGGTTAATAAAGGCACCAATACTGTTAGTATTAGGAAAAGATACTTTAGTACTACAATATGGGGCAGTCACCTTACTTAATATAAGTATTACATTGTCATCACTACTACTACAACAACAAAGTGTACTGTAATGAATTATGATTCCTATGTTGGAATAGTAATGGAAGTTTATTCAACAAATTTTACATAATTTAAAACATTTATAAATAGTATTGCACATGACTATGACTATTTCACTAAACCAGAAAATAAACAAATATATACTGCATTTTATATTATGCTATTACTACAAATTAATAAATAACTCATAAAATTACATGCAATAAAATAATCTAAATGGAAGCAAGATTATATTGTGCATCAGCATGTCCTTGGTCAGCTGCTTTCTGATACAGTTCAACTGCCATTTTGGCATCTTTTTCCACTCCAATTCCATGCTGATAGCAATGGCCAAGATTATTCTGTGCATCAGCATCTCCTTGTTCAGCTGCTTTTTGATATAATTCAAATGCCTTTTTATGATCCTGTTCTACTCCAACTCCATGTTGATAGCAGTAGCCAAGGTTATTCTGTGCATCAGCATCTCCCTGTTCAGCTGCTTTTTGATATAGTAATAGTTCAAATGCTTTCTTGTCATCTTTTTCTACTCCAACTCCATGTTGATAGCAGTAACCAAGATTATTCTG